AAAATCTCAAATTTAATCAATTATTTGAAAGACAGTGTTTTTCTTCTGTTTACAAGGTACCCAGAAACAGTTGTTAGCTTTCACAAATTTGTGATTCAAAGCCATCTCCTGTGGGTTTCTCATCAGCCATTTGAGATAATTATTCATGAGATACTCATCACAAGAAACCATCCTTCTGTCTGACAACATTTTACAGACACAACTTCAGAAAGAGTTTCAAGCAGGTGAGATATCATTATACTAATTTGAACTAATTTACTGGTATCTAACATATCCAATTGCTTCAGGTGAAATACAGTACAATATTTCATTTTTTCTAATGAAAAAAAAAAAAAGAAGTTTAACTTCTGAAATTTCTTTTGAAATCTATTCTCTCTCCTTCAAAATAATAACTTGCACGGAAGAGGAAATAATTCCACTTGATTTAAACATCCTTTTAACATTTCTGGAAGAATATGCCTTGGAAATTCGTATCAGTTCTACTCAAAATTATGCTATAAGCTTTTGACAGCAACAAAAACCTATTATTTGCAAAAACAGTTAAATACTGGAAAGAGGTTTTTTTTGCCCTAGTAGTAAATATAGTCTAGAATTCTGTTTTCAAATTCAGGGGAGTTAAAAAAAAAAAAAAAAAACAGCAAGGGGTGCAAATTTCTTTCAGTAAATGTTTAAAATGAGCTTGCATTCTTCTAAATTAGAAGCTGATAGCTGCTAATTCACCTTCCTTTCACCTGGCTTTGAGTTGCATCCAAACTACTCCTGTGGTTATAATAAAATGTGGTTTATGCACTGCATCTAAAAGTTACCGAAGGGAATATATGGAAGGCGGTTTCTCCTATTTTAGACAGACAATGAAGGGTGGAAAATGCTAGTTATGCCTGCTGTCATGCCTCAGTACGATGCAACAGAACCAGAGCTACATGACTGAACCTCCAGGCTGAAGAGTCACAAGTACGCACATCACCATCATGCCAGGAACAGGACTTCACATTACACAGTTTAACATCCTGAAGAATATTTGGATCACAGTGGGGAGGAACACATTTGGAAGACACTCGTGGCTTTTGGTAGTCAACCTGAGACATCAGAGCCTGGATGATCAGAGGTTTATCCACCCACGATACTGATTCTGCTTGCGATACAGCCTTCTGCATCCCTGATCCTTCAGTGCCTCAGCTATGTACCAAAATTACCATCCTTACATGGCTAATACTGAAAATTCATGCCTACATGAAATGATTGAGAAAACTGGTAGGCACACAATAAGAAAAACCTCCCTTTGTTAATATTAAACACACACCTACAGTAATATGCAGCCTCTATGCTTTTTGTCTCCTTAAACTGCCAAATAATGCCATAGATCACAGCAAGCAATACAGTGAAGCTGTTGTCAAGAAATGTCTGCCTTCAATTGAATTCACATCATATAATCCAACAGCTGCAGGCAACGCCACCATAATACATTTTGGGAGATCAGATGTAGAAGAGGCGTCCACGCTCACTGCACCCTACGCTCTGTGATCAGCCACATCTTACACCTCTTTCCTCTCACCGTGGGGCACTATGAGCAATTAGCATTTTCTCTCCAGCACAGGAAAGTTGCTGCAGCCTGTGTAATGTTTCTGTGTTTGTTTGTTTTAAAGAAAGAAAACTACTTCTGCTCCAGAAATCAGTAGAAAAAAATGACACAGAGGAAGAGGAAGCACAAGTACAATTACAATCAAACAACATGGGGATAGAAAAAAGCTAGCAACGGAGCTGATAAAAAAAACATAAAAACATTTGAAATATTGCATTCTGAAAATGATAAAATGAAATATTGTAACACTACCAAAACCTTTTAGCCTTTTCACTTCAAAGAAAATATGAAAAAACCATTGAACCGATACCAAGTTTATATTCCAATGAAATAGCATTTTTTTAGAGGAAAAGCAATCCATCAGAAAATGTTGAACCAGCTGTAAGAACTTTATCTGCACGGATTACTCAGGTGAAAAATAGTCTATTTTGTACTGTTCACTTTCAAAAGTAAACAACACTTTGCATATTAAGTTCTGAAATACTCATTGTTCTGTAAGTCTCCACTGATGCATAGTCAGCTTATTCTATTCCATCAAACAGAACATTTCCTATTTAGTTTTGTGTTACTTCACCCTGTAAGTTAATAACTAGTTAAGCACTGAGAAATCTGCAAGCACAGAAAGGCTTAAACTCAGCAGAATGATGGGGGTGGAGTCTCTTTCCTCTTATTTTGGAGGAAATATTTTTTTGATGAAATCATAGCTGTGGCTCTTTACACTCCTGTTACATCCCCTAAGCATTTCAGAATATTACCCACATTTTGTACGTGTTTTAAGCTTCTGAATACATTTGAAAGGAATATTAATCTTCAAAATCACAAAAATTCCTTGCCTGTTGCTAGTCAGCTAACAGAAACCATTCTCCAAAGTAGAGGCCTGAAAAACAGTCTGGTATTTTTCTCGAAACAAAGAGGGACGTAGGAAAAAAAAAGCTTCATTTAAGAATTTGCTGCAAATCAATTTTCATAAGCTTTTAAGCTTATTTGGAAATCATCTGATAAAGGTTTACAAAAGTCCTGCAGGCAGAATACATTGGAATAGCACATCAAGTTATGGGGAAGAGCACCCGCAAGAAAAGGACAAGCAGCAAACAGCATTTCTAGAAATCAGCTGCCTGACAATTCTTAAAAGAACAGCATTTTTATAATTAATTCTATAGCTGCTTCCTAGCACTGCTTTGGAGCTGGAGCATCACAATGGTCCAGCTTTCCCCACCAGCAACCCAGCAGTACCGTGACAGCCTCTGTGCAGCCCATTGGGCAGGTTCAAGGCAGTCAGAGACCCTCAAGTCTCAACTCACACTGATCCTCAGTTTTTATCTCTTCAGGCCGCCCCAGAGCCATTACTCTCAATTTGGCTAACTCAAAATCTTAAGGGACAGGGCTTGGGAGCCTGGAAACTGCTGGACTTCCTGAGATCGTTACTCCTCTCTACCCACAACTTACCTCTCTGAAAAAGCCCATCCAGTGCTTTGTAATTTTCTGTGGAAGGATGTGTCTGAGTTTAATCCCGACAAAACCAAATGTGAAATCTCAAATCCAGCACAAAACACAATGACCTCTCTATACCAGCCCAGACAAGGGCTTTCTGAACACTGAAAACCTTATACATATTTTAAGTGGCTGCTGACAACATCTGCAAGGTATAAAATTTACTGCTCTACCAAGGATTTTAGCTTTCTCCAAGAAACAGAGCAATGCTGTAGCAAGAAATCATTAACACACATTAAAAAAAAGATTTACAGCTGCTACTCTGGGACCCACTATAAACCTTCTACAAGTCTCAAAAGCAGGGAGAGAAATCCAGCAGAACTGCTCCTTTCTACCCATACCACAGGGAAAGCACCCTCCACGCATCAGACATCTACTTGTTTATTCAGCTTGCAGGGACCAACAACTGTGGAACAGACCTAAGGAATGTTGAATGCATGGAGGTAGATGTCCATTACAAAAGGCACAGTGCAGTGATATGAAAGTGGTAGCGACCTGAATAAGACACAGCAGAACACCGTTCCTCTGTTTAACACAAGAAGTGGCAGCTCTGATCACTTTTCCCTATGTCTTAGCCCTTCCTCACTCTTTCACCTCTAAACTCAACTAATTCAAAGCCATAATTCTTTTGTTGAGAACTGAAAACTGTTAAAAAAAATAAACAAAACTACTTTTTGATGTTTATTTGCAGCATCAGTTTAACAAGCCAAAACTCTGCTACACACATAAATGGAACAGTAACAAAAGGAAAACCTTGTGTGAAGGACTCATCAACTGCAAGACTTAAAAAATACCTATACCTTTAATCTAAGAAATTAAAATAACATCTAACCCAATCAATATGTCAAGATGTTAGGCTTTCTTTAAACCCATAGCCACAAAAACCATTTCTCCTCCCACATTCCATGCTAATATCATAAACTAATTTAACATTAGTTGATATATAAATAAAAATACAAGCAACTTGCTGAACAACAATTTCCAGTATTCAAAGCACAACAAGAGTCAGCCAAGTCACGTCAGCTTCTGTTATTGTTGCCTACACTGTTTGCCATCAATAAACTCCATTAATTTGGAGGTGACTTGGATACCTTCACACAAGCTGTCTCCATATCCTAGCTAGACTGATCTATAGGGGAGCAAGCCTAGATGTGAAACTGAAAGGTAAACAGAGTTACTCCAAATAATCAGCATCATAGCAATTGAAATGAAAATTTAGGTCTGCACATATTTCTCCTTTTACATTTAAGCCAGATAAACTCAGCCAGCCTATGTGGCAGCAAATCCACTGACATCAGTGGAACCAATCTAATCTGAACTTGGATCCAAACGCAGGCCAGAAGCTGCCCTTTCAAACAGCTTAAGAAAAAAAATAGAATACGTATGCCAATGACTCTGACAGATGTCTATGTGTTATAGGAGAATCCTCAGGATTCAACTTGTGAGCCCCACAGCCCTGCCAGCTCACACAGCATCAGCACCAGTCTTGCCAGATTTGATGATTCATTTATAGTGCCAGCTTCTTGGGGCACACAGTTATGCAAGGACCTTCAGTCCATGATGAACTGAGGGAAGTTTCTGCCTGTCACAGTTTGAAATCCCAGTTCAGGAGTGTGATCACTGCTAGAAATACAGAAATCACACTCTAAAAATATCCAGAACTTATCACCATTTTCAAAACCAAGACAGGTGGTCCTATTTCATTACTTGTGTATATCTGCACAACTGGAAAGTGACCAAGGAAATATTAATACACATACTGCTATTTTGCAATTTTTCAGAATGCAGAAGTAAAAAAGTTGTTTTGAATTTAGAAATGAAGGTAAAGTATTTATTGACTAACATTTAGCTAACTTATATTCATTTGTACCATATTACCATTTAGTATATTAACATATCAATACTGAAAGAAGAAAAAAATGTTACTAACCTGTGGGAATAGCGAGTAAGTTGTATTGTCAATGGTGAAAGAATACAAAAATTCCCCATCAAACCAGAGGTTCTTTCCCATTGGGGAGTTCTGTTTTGTCATCGCAAAGAGCTGCCCAGGGTCACAGCAGTCTTCCAGCAGCTTCCTAGAAAAGGCAACAAAAAGAAAGAGATGCATGAGTTATAGCTCTGGCAGCCATCTCTAAAGCCCATTTTTAACTGATAGTCCAAGCACCCGAGTGACCCACAGCTCCTGAGTGCTAGAGAGCAAGCCATTTGTTTTCCCAGCAGTATCATGTGCTGCAGGTGACCACACTGTGCATCAGATAACAAATACTAACAGAGAATTCAGAAAGCTAGCAGACCTAGAAATTCAAATTCTAACTTAGCAACTTCCTAATTATCTTTTTTAATTTTTACCTAAAGAAGAGCCAGCAACTGATTTTTTATTTTTTTTTTTTTTTAGAAAATTTTAGAAGTAGATAGTTAAAAATTAACCCTCAATTCATTCTTGAATAGCAAAGAAATATAAAACAGATTTAGCAGAAAGCAGTCCGTTCTTTTCAATCACTTCTAATTAATAAAAAAACAGGTTCTCCAGCACACACAGCACTCAGAGAAGCACCTTTGAAAACCAAATCTCAGAACCCAAACTCAGCTGTGAACAGTGGGCCTTATATAAAACCCCAAGTTACATAACTTGAGCATGGAAAAATTTACCATCTCTGTTCAGATATTAAGTATCCTTGTGCTACTTTCACAGCAGTGTTAGAGCTTGTCTGGAGTGCCCGCATGAAGTCCAACTTGAGTCATCTCAGTTTGCTATCTATATATAGCATACATATATATATGTATATATATATACACACACACAGCGAATACTACACTTCTCCTTTCCTCATCCAAACTGTATATCCTCTTACACTTCCAGTTCCCTAAAATAGCCATTACAGAGCTTGAGCAGCAATTTGAGAGATGGTGAGATGGCTGAAGGTTGTACTTGAGCAAAAATTCTGTATCGTTGCAAGCTCAGCAATTAATATCTTAACAGATTGATGAAAAGCTCCTGACATCTGCAGAGCAGGAATATCTTAAAGCCAACATGAGAGAAGCTTGCTAAAGGAAAGGTGGTGCTCATATTAGTTTGCATTGGTAATAGTTAAGATGCAAAAATATACATTGCACAATTATGTCATTACGGTAGATTAATATAATAATAATCATCATCAGTACAAGTTGTAATAATTTATTGTTTATTTTAAAGAGGAATTAAAGAGACTAAAGTCATTCCTGAGGGTTGCATGAAAGCTGCAGGTGGCAAGCAGAAAAATATCACTTATCAGTGTCTCCCTAAATATTTGACTTAGTGCTCTCCTCTGTGAAAGAGGAGATTTTATTCCAAAACAAGAAGTCAGCCACATAAATGTCTTTGCTTTTTTTAAAAAAAAAGAATTTTCCAGAAGTTTCACAGCTACTTTTCTTCTCTACAAAATGACAAGTAAAAAACAGTATTTTCTCCTAAAATGGATTTCTATTGTAATTTAATACTTCCAACATGGGTGAATATTATTTTACATACATATTCCAGCTAAAAATCTGGTGAAAGCTGTAGATTTTTTATCTTTGCAGGGCAGGAATCAGTTTGAAAATGCTGTGTGACCAGCAGCAGTCTGTGGAAATTGCTACTATTCATCAACTTTCTCCTCTTGAGAAGTTTAGTGATTTGCTTTTGTAGCTTCCCATCACAGCTCTATCCCCAGCAAAGGGCCACCTTTTGCTGGTACATAGCAACCAGCTTCTAGAACAAGATCTGAGGAAGCTCTTGCATGTAACAAGCTGATCAGCCCACCCTCAGCCAAAGAATCTGACACTTTTTACAAAGACTCCACCAGAAGCTTATGTCAGGCTGTTTTGTGGCTCAAAATGTTACTATTTATTCCACCCAGCACAAGGCACTACCACATGCCTAGACCTTACCTACCAATGGTAGAGGGCTCATGACTCCAGAGCACCCTACTGCTCACAGTGCTGTGCGCACAGACATGTTACCATGTGTTTTCCCTGTATGCACCCAAATTCCTTTCCGTATCGACCAGTAATGGATAAGTCAAGCTTAAATTAGCAATGACCTTCACTTAACAATAGACAAAACTGTTTCTGGAGCTTAGACCACACATTGCAGAGCCGTCTTGTCCTCTGCTGAGCAGTGTGTCAGCCAGAGTGGCAACCAGCATTCCCAGAAATACCATCAAGACACCTACAGCCAGGGAGGTTTCCCATCATCCTGCTCCACCATGGAAATGGAAACCAAGCTGAAGGCAATTTGAAATTTCTCACCAAACATCCTTTGCAGAGCAGTTTGACACAGGCATAATAGAGTACTATTCCAAATAAATTTGAGCATGGAGATTTTACTTGGCTTTCTCCAAGCTTCAGTTTGCAGCCTTTGGAAATTCTATTCCACTCCAACTCTCACTGCAGCTTTTTGAGAAAGCTGAGAGTAATCCAAGATCAGCTGGAGCCTCTAAGTACAACTGTATGGCAAAACTATAGTTTCCAATCAAAACTTGCAACTTTACCTTCAGTGAAAATCTGTTTTGAGCAAGAAATGAAAAAAAGAAAAAAGGATAACTTGATGGAAAAGTATCAAGAGATTGCTTCAGATTAATGAATCTTTCCTTATCTGGGGTAAAGGGATGAGCTGAGCAACAGCTTCTCATTCAATTTTTCTCTTCACAGTCTAACTAGATATAATATATATACCTACTCTTCCTTCTCCCCAGAACTGCATTCTTCCAGTTGCCAGCAAGTCCCCTAGTTAATAAACTATTATGAAAAGCAGTAGGTGTCTTCTGGAAGGTTAGAGATAGCCAGAACACCACTTCAAGTATTATTCACCTGCATGTATTAGCACAAAAAATCTTGTGCACACAGACATGCTTTCTGTCACAAAAGAATAATTGTAATGGTCTTACATTATTCAGTTTCTCTTTCTGATTCAAATCCAAAAATTATAAGGTAAGAGAGGCTCCACAAAAAATATGCACTAAAAAGGAAAAAGGTATTCAAAGGGGAACTAAAGCAGGGCACTTAGCAGGATGATGGAGTCAGAAGAGATTTGCCAAACTTGATTAAAACATTCAGCTAAAATGTTATGGCAGATTTTGCAAAACTGAAGCGGCTTTTAAACCAAGGATTTCAATTCACCGCAAGTACCAGTCTGCTTGCAGGACATGTATTATGTACCTTTGACTCAAAGTTATCTCCAATTCAGAAGACGAATTAAACTACTTGAATATTGCTATTTAAAAGGCACTCAAGCACTCAGATCTGAGAGCACTTAAGGGATAAATCCCGCTTGTGAGAGAAGCAGGATAAAAGTTACTTCACGTCTCTCGCTGCAGACATCCATGACTTGGGCTTGATCAGCACCAACAAGGCCATTAGCCCAGAGCAAGCACTGAAGTGGCCCCGCAGATCAACTCAAACAGCAGCTGCTGCTCCGGGCAGGAGCCCAACAGTGATTTTGAGATGTTATTCACATCCTCACAGCGCATTTTGTTGAGGTTAGATCAGCAGACACTGAAAAAAGAGGAACAAAATCCCAGTCCCAAGAATCCTGCACCCAGACAACACAATCTTCATGGGATTTACAGCATACCAGCTCACGTCTGATCCTACAAAGAGCCTGTAGCACATGGAGAGCATCACCAACATGTGGTAACTGGGGTCAATCAGGAGATCTGCTTCAAAAGCCTGCCTCTCACCAAAGGGCTAATACACACATACACATACTCTTCTCCACCTAGAAGGGGAGAAGCCAGATCTCTTTGGTAAGTCTAAACCAAAACTTGCATGCATAGCCAGTGAAAAGGTTTACATAAAAAAATAAACCATCAGTTCTGGACTTAAAACTAGTGAACTTTTCAGTTCAGTTTCAAATTGCAGCCAATTAAAGCTATATCTTATCCTGGTTTGACATCAGTCCCAGCCAAAAATGACTCAGCAGCTAGATTAAGCAACCCAAGCATCTTCAAACTGACAAAGACAATATCTAAAAGCAGAAACGTGCAATTCCACAGCACAGGTTGTCAGCCAGGAGATGACAGCCCTTTTGCTATTACTTCTCCACAGGTGGGGCAGCTCCTGCATCCCCAGCACAACACTGCTCCTCCAGCTCCTTTGGCTGGGCTAAGGTTAAAGGCATAAGCCTCATCTGAGATGGAGCAGTGGGTAAAGGTGGCACAACATGACATACAGGGGAAAGAAGAAAGAAGGTGAAAGGGTCTATTAAGACCTACTGGTACCCTGACAGCTGGCATTATCAACACCTTTTTCTGCCCCAAGGGACAGTTTTACAGCAAACCTTCCCACACACCACCCTGCTATCGCCCACACTTCCCACAGCCAAGGCACATTTACCTGATTAACTCTTCAGCACTCTTTTCCACTGCCAATGCAGCCTGGGGTGGAAAAATCCACCTGTAACTGCATCTTGTGCTTTGCTTTGCTAAATATGGGATTTCTCATTCGGATTGATGTCAACAGTTCTGGCCTGATTTGGCCTAGTTCCATGATTAATGGGGCTGGGGAGCAAAGCACCCCTGCCCTAAGAAAGGAGGAAGGGAAAAGGTGGATGAGACAGCTAGGGCACACGCACCGCAAAGACCAGCGGAAAAGAAAGTCTCATGACTCCCAGACAGCTTTATCTTTCCTTCTAATTGGAAAATGGAAAATGAAGTCTTCTGGGAACTGTAGCTCATTCTTCTCTTCTGAGAAAGGTATAGCCAAAATATCGACAATCCACAGAACTGCAACATTAACTTTTTAACTCCCGGTGCACTACATAATGTTATGATGTGGGTTACCAATAATAGAAATCATAAAACCATGGCAATCTACTGAAAAATTAGGAAGGTTATCAGGTAAGTGAGGCTGCTCTATCTCATGGGCCTGTTCTCCGGATCACTTAGTGCCCTGATCCTTTTCTCATCTGCCAACTACATTTTAGTGTTCTCCCACAGATCATTTAAGTAACAGGTCAAGAATTGATCTCTGCCAGGGGGAAGGGGAGATGGTGGGAGGGGAAGTAATGCTAGTTTAAGCATTCACTAACATCAAGACATTTGCTAAAGAGAACATTTAG